GGGCCAGGAGGCAGACGGGCAGCCATCCACAGGTCTCCCTGGCAATGTGGACAACATATGCCTGGCTGCCCATGCTGCCTCACCTTCTCTCCCACCTTCTCCCTGGCTCCGTTCCTTGTTAGTTTCTCTAGGGTCACATTGTTTTCCTTCTCCCAAAAGAACCAGGGGAGGCCCGAGCTGGCCACTTGACCGTCACCTTGAGCCAGCCATCTGGTCACGACTGGGTACCTACAGCAGCACCATGTCCACCTGACGGAGGGCCTGCCTGGCCTTTTGGACCCTCAGTGGTGCAAAGTCTGGTTTTTGTTGCTGTTGTTTTTAAATGTATTATCAATTGGGAGCTAATACATATATCATATCATTCCATAGTTCAATCACCTCAAGCAGAATTGTACAATTGCGGCCAATCAGTTTCCAAGCATTCTTTTTCTTCCTGGACTCTTGACATCGTCTCCCTTTACACCCACCCCCACGCCCCACCCCTGGAAACCCTTATTCTACTTGCTGTCCCTACAGGTTCATCAATCCTGGGTTTCATATACTGAAACACAGAAAAACATAACCTATGATATAGAAAGTCTATTTTGAGTGTAAGAGACTGGTTTTAAGTAGCGTTAGCTAGTAGTGGAGGTACAAGGATCACATACCTTTGTCCTGAGTTGAAAAGAGAGAGGGGAAAATGGGTTTGAGCCGGAAGGCGCTGGTGCGTGAGTGGCAGTGGCTACCTAGCTCACCTCTTTGGTGAGTGCCTGCCCGGTAAGGCTTCGCCCAGCGGCCCCAAAGCTGGCTGCCCACCAGAGTCTGCCAGGAAGATAGGCAAATGAGAGATCCCTGAGTCCTAACCTGAACCCAGAATCTGTGGGTTTGGAGCTTGAACTTCCTCTTCAGGGACTGTTTGTAGAGAGTATCGCGGTTTACAGAAATGGAAACCACTGTGTAAGCACTTTCTTGTCACTGCATAGGTGACGGGAGGGAGGCCTGGGGGTGCCAAGTGACGAATCGACCTGAGCAGACATAGCAGCCATCCAAGTTTAGAAAGGGGGTGGGTTATCTGGGGGGAAACAGCAGTGGCCGTGAGCTTTGACCAAGGTGACAGCCAGGGAAGGAGCGCTTTGTGGGGAAGGGAGTCAGCTGAGTTTTAGGCACAGTGAATCTGAGCGACACTCAGAAAGATTTGGGGAGACAATGAAGACACTCCTTGGAACCAGCGAGGAATGGTACCTCATGGTGGAACCTCCCTTGGGAAGTGCTCACTCATGTCTCCCCACAACCGATGGGGTAGAAAGGGTATCATCTGCCTTCTGCCACCCAGCAGACAAGCTCAGGGGAGCAGCGCCATGCCCCTGGATTGCATAGTGAGGAAAGGACGGAGACGTGTTTGAAGCCTGGATAGGCTGGCTTGGGGTCAGGCCCACAATCCACCAGTTCTTTTCAGGACGTCAGACCACCCGAGTCTGCATGCTTCCGGTGCCTACCTGAGGTGTTGGCAGCTTCTGACTATTTCCACAGAGACCTGAGGATCCCGTTGCGTGAGTTTGCCCTGTCTGGGACAGTTTATGTTTGCTCCTGTCAACTGCCTCCGCCCAACACCAATTGTTTTCTAGACCTGGGCCAGTGCGGCCACACTCCAGCCCTTTCTATTCTTTGACAGCTCATTTAGCTTCACCTCCGTGGCTGAAGGAATCACGCATGAGCACACTCAAGCCGCCCCGCCCGCAGGCCCTGGACAGGGAAATCAATGCTCCCCCTGGCTGCCCTTTGCGCTGGAGACATGTCCACGCTCCCCAGCTGCCATTTTCTTCCTCATCGTCTCCATCACCATCCTCCTCTTCTTCCTCCTCGTCCCTACCTCACAGGCTATTACTTGAAATAGTATTCATTTTCTCTGCTACTCCCTATATGTTTCTCCCCCGCCCCGTCCTTGGTCTCCAAGCCCAGCCCCAGCCTTGATGCGTCCCTCACCAGACTGTGGGAGCCAGGAGCCGGCATTGTCATGGGTTCGTTCTTTGCTCCACAGTCTCACTTGTATGGGGAGAAGGCCGATGCTGCCTTGGTGCAGGACCACGCTGGACACACAGTGCATGATGGGAAATACCTGTGGATTCGTGCTGGAGGCACGATGGGCAGCATCCGCAGCACCTGGAAACCTGCAGTGCGGCCCTGCTTGATTTTACAAGGTTTCCAGGCAATGATGCACTGAAGTTTAGAATCACTGAAATCAAAGAATGAGGGCAAGGGAAGATCTGAGACTAAATCCTGTCTCTGAATTTCCCAGCTTTGGACTCTCAGAAAAGTCACTTTTTTTTTTTTTGAGCAGTAGATTCAGAGGGCAGAGGGGTCCACTTCACAGGTTAATAATGGGGAAGATTCTGTGACAATGGTTGTAAAATGCTATTGATCGTGCCAAAGGTCTGTGGGTATTCAATGCACTTTGATCTCTACCTCTTGGCTGGCCCCAGGTGTTTGAGTTGAGTGTTCAGTCCAGGTAATATATTCTGTTCATATTTATGCCTCTCTCTAGCCATCTGTCACTCTGTGGGGTCTAAGGGTTCTGGGCAAAGGAGGAACACTTACACTACGTGGTGACTTCCTCATGATCAAGGCCCCAGTGGGTCACCAGGGAATGTTACCTAGCCCAGCAGAACATTCTTTGCATTAACCAGCCTCCTCATTCCATAGTTTGACTGATGGGTAGCAACACCCCTGGCTCCTGCCCTAGCCCTCTGTGCTGAACCCTAAGCTGAAGTTACAGCCAAGGCGGTGGTCTTACTCGGTCTGAAGTTGCCCCACTCCCAGGCCTCCTCCTGTACCGGATCATGCAGAATCCTTACTGATGCTTATTATCAATATTAATGATCCACGGTCTAGTTGTAAATTGTTTCAGTATAATATTTCTTAGACTGTATGAATGCTAACAACAAGCCTGGTGTGTAAGACCTTTCTCTATTGGATGATAGTGTTCATATTTACAACGTTCTCCATAGCTGAGCCTCTGTTGGTTTCTCCCTTCCCTTCCCTTTAATGCCTACTTCGTTCTCACAAAAGTTATTGATAGAGGTCCTTGAGGACTAATAGCCACAATACTGCAGCCTAAACACCAGGGAATGGGGCAACGTCATTGCCCATGCAAACACTGGCATCAAGGAAGACAACAGTATGAGCCTCTAGTGTGGCAGACAGAACCACGCCGTTCAAAGCCTCACTGCAATGGGGGAAGAAGGACAGCTCTGAGTGCTTTAGAAGGTTGGAAAATTAGCATAGAATTGTGAAGTCTTGGAGGTACGTTGGCGCAT